GCGTAATTTTAAGTATCACCTCCGTTTTTTTGTTGGAAGAATGAGTTGAAAAATTTTCGAGCGCCTCCATTTTGGCGAAGTGCACATAAGTAGTGAGGGCGCGTATAATCATACATTATGCGCTTGAATGGAATGCCCACGGGAATTTCCCATTTTTTTGTAGACCACATTTGCAAGCCCTCTTTTGCCCCCGTTTGCATACATATATGTGTATATATATTGCACATATTATTATGTTACGTTTTTTTTTTCACCACACCACGCCCGCGTTAGTCTGGCGCTTCGCACGAATTCACAATTGTGACCAGATAGTCCCATGCCCACATGCACACTACACAGTGTTATCTTCTCCCTCAATTTATAAAGAAAGGAAAGTGTAAAAAATGGATCCAAGTGCTTATAAAAATTTCCCCGTTTTCTACTTGAAGCGGAAAGGTATGCGGAGAGAAAAGTGAAGGGGGAGCCACCAGAAAGACACCCCGAAATCTAGGAAATTGGCCATCCCCCGTCAACCTTTTCAAACGCTTGGAACACCAAAAAAGGGTGTAATCGAACGATGCGGAACTCACATATGAATGCCCCTCCTTCTTTTCCCCTTTCCCACATGTACTGTACCCCTAAACAGAACCAGTAAACGTGGAGAACGAGAGATTGATGCCCAACCTAAACACACTAGAAGAGTACATTAATGTCTGTTTCAGCAATTTACCTTACCAAGAACTAACTGTAGATAATAAAAAGAAGTTCCAAATCGAAGCTTTATGTGATTTTTTTGTTTTTTACAACTGCGATAGGGTTATATGCTCATTGATAGAGAAACACTGTAAAAATAAAACGTTATGTTTTTTTAGCAACTTGTGTGAAAAAATAGATAATCAATACTTTAAAAATGGACATCATTTTTTAAAGCATTTTGTGGAGACATGGAATAATTTTTCCTCTGTTGTAGTTCATTTAGACGACCTGTTTAAGTCCTTTAGGACGTATAATAAAATTGCGTGCTCCAATTTTGAGTGCCCATCATACATATTTAATCAGTTGTGGCACAAGTGCATAAATAGTTATATGCTTGTGAAGAGGATCCTCATTCGCAGCGCTTGTGATTATTTAAAATGTGATAAGGTGTTTTGTGAAACGAAGTTTTATCAGTATATTTGTATGAATATGCAGGATGATGCTTCGGAGGGCATGGAGAATGAATGTGATGGGGTTTCTCTTTCTCATGGAGCGGTGAGATCAGGGGCTACTCTCGGAGGGAGTCGTAACATGAGCACGGTTGGTACGGGCAGTCTCAGCGGAGATATCTCCACCGTGCAGAAACGTCCGAGCCTAAATTCTAACAAGACTAATGGAAACGTGAAGAAGTACTCCGTTTCGTTCAAGATCAACGAGGGCGACAGCGGGAAAGGCTGTGACAGCCCTGGAGAGGAAGTAAAAATGGGGGAGCCAGCAAGGGAAACACATATCAGTGATACTACATATGTTAGCACTTCCTCCCAGGTTAATACGAATATGAGGATAGAAAAAGAACAGAGTGACTATCTGCATGCGAATAACCCTAGCAACGTCTTCGGCGTCAGTGAAGAGGGAACGAAGAAGGAGTGCCCAATCGATGACAAGCTCCTGTGTGCCGGACTTCGGATCATAGACATTCTGGGACTGTATGACGAATTTGAACAAGCATACAAAAACGATACGCAGGAGTATTACGTGGAGAAGGTAAAGGAGCATATGTCGAAGGATGGAATTGATCCAGAGAAGAAGGAAGATACCAAAACGAACAAGCCAAATGGGGAACGTGACCTTCCCGAGGAAATCGAAAAATACCTGTGCCACGAACAAATGAGATGTCGGAAATTTTTAAGAGAACAAACAGAAATAGCTATTTTACAAATGCTAAAAGAAGTGCTAATAGTAAGAAACAAAGACGTACTTTTTAAAAATGTGCACATAAAGCATTATATTGAGAATGAGAAATATGATAGTCTGAGGATGCTCTATTTATTTTCCCTTCACATGAACGACACGGAAAATTTTTGCGATATATTTTTCAAAGCAGTGGAGGAAATAGGCCTTGACATAATAGACGAGGTGCTAAACAAAAGAGACAATTTGAATACCCTCTACGATGCACTCATACGACTAGTAAATTATAAACTAAACATTGACAGAGTGATTATCATTTGCTTTCGATATTCTTCCTTCTTTACAAATAAGTGGAAAGAAGTTTTCGAGCATGTTCTGAACAAGGGAACCCATGCAGAGAATTACATGCCAGTGATACTCAGCATTTACTTGAACAATTTGCTGATGATGTATAATACAGGATTGAAAAAGCTGAGGAAATATTACATAATAAATAAACAGCTGAGGAAGGGAAGAAGCAAGAAAAATAACTTTCTGTTTGAGAAGAACTGGTACAGTTTTTGCAACGAATCTGTTATCGAGGGGGTGGAACAGGACAGCTCAATTTCGACGGACAGCGATACAATGATGGTGGTCAAAAAATATTTAAAAAAGAAAAAAAGGAAAAGAAAATTCCTTCACGCCGTGATGCCAATGGGTAAAGAGGAAGGTGGCAATTGTGATAACCAGGCCGAAGAAGAACGCAACCACAGCAGCGACAGATGCGATGAAGAAATGATATATGCCCACACCGAAAAAATGGAGAAGCTATTTAAAAAGTATCACGACATAGGCAAGTACATTATAAACACGGTCACCATAATTCTGAGTCTTTTTAAATACCTAAGTGATAAAGAAAAATTTGAGAAATATTTTCGAACCTTTATGTGTAAACGATTAATAAATGATAAAAATTTTAACATCGTTCTGGATGTGAAAGTTTTTAAAACTCTTAAAAAAGAATGTGGTCCCCAATTTACCAAAAAAATTGAAACCATACTGAAGGATATGAAATTTTCATGTAAAGGCATGCAGGATTTTTACAAGGAAACTTCACATGATGGCATAAAATTGCTCAGGAAGAAAAAGTACGCCGTTAACGTTATCTATAACGATGTGTGGGAACACAACAAATTAGAAGGTGACATTATTTACCCGGAAGCAATTAGGTTATGTAATGATTATTTTTGCAAATATTACGCACTTGCGAATAAGGCCAAAAATATTAAGTTCCTTCCATTATATGGACTATGCACTTTGAAAGTCGATTTTGGAAAGATAAAAGGGAAAAAATGGCCTAGTTCGAGTGGTTCCTCCTGGGAATGTGCAGACCATCGTGAAGGGGAACATCAAGCGCAAAAGCATTTATCATGTGGGGAAAGTGATACCAGAGGTGCTAGCACAAGTGGCAGTAACAGCCCCTCCGAGGATAAACACACTGTTCATGATGATGGAAATTGCAAAAATGAGAGGAAGTTCCTTTTCACAGTAACGACCCTGCAAGCGACCGTTTTGCTGCTATTCAATCAGAGGCCCCAATACAGCATAGGCGAATTGACCGACTTGACAGGATTCTCCAGGGACCATTTAATACAGTACTTACAAGCCATATACACTGACTACGAAACGAACATTTTGATCTATGACCAAGCATCTGAAAATTTTCAGTTAAATGTCAACTTCCAAACCGACAATAAATATTTAGTGGTCAACTATTCAGACCAGACGTATAAGGACAACACAACCATACCTGCGTTGACACAGGACGACGGGGAATTGGAGGACAGAACCCTACACATTGATGCATCCATCGTGAAGTTCTTAAAAACATGTGGAAAAGCATCCAAGAAGGACATTTGTGCGCATATTCTTCAAAAAGTTAACAACTGCACGAATGAGCAAATTCAAACTAGGCTGGCATCCCTCGTTAATAGGGAGTTTATATTCTTGCAAAATAATATTTACTATTTTGAGTTGTAAAGTGTCTGTCTGTGTTGAGGAGGTACACAAAAGTCTGCCACTGTTCGCGGGAATAAAATATCTTTTTCGTTTTTTTTTTTTTTCTATTTAATTCAAAACATCTGTGAGAAATTGGCTGTTTCCCTCGCTTTGCACTGCATTTCTTGGTGAGTAAACACATTTTTGCTATCCCCCCCTGGGTTGAGTAAAGATAAGTTCCCCTTTCGGGATTAACCCCCTCCCCCTTGCTCCTTTAATGTCCCGATTGCGGGTGTCCTTATGTGCGTAACGTGTGTGTGGACGAGCTGATGTGTCTTCACAAACATGCGCGGCGTAGCAGCTGTGGGGGTATCACCGCATTGGTATTACGATTGGAAATGCATGTATGTGCGTGCGTACGTGCGTGAGCTCTTTAAGAGAGTCACCAACACTTTAGCAACCTACATAGGGTGCCCTTCCAAAGTTAGACTTCATTAAATTTCTTAACAAAAAAACGTTTGACGTTATACTGAACAGTTTTAATTTCAAATTACGCCGAAAAAAAAAATGGTTAACCAATTCTAAAAACAAATGACTAATATTTTTTTATCCCTGGGTTTTAAATCAGAAGGGGGGAAACATACATGAATGCGCATACAATGTGCACAGCAGACGCATGTGCAAAGAAAAAGATAGTCATCTACATACCTCTATCGAGATGTTGACAAAAGGAGAATTCAAAAACAAATGTAACAACATTACAACATCACTTATGACGAGTATACTAACACTTGATCAGTCATAGTCGCTGACGTGTAAACGAAAAAGAAAAAAAAGTCTAACATTTTTTAACAAAAAAAAAAAAAAAAAAAAAAGAAAAAAAAAAAAAAAAAAAAAAAAAGAAACATCCACACATGTATGGAGATATACAACAAGACAAAAAATTGGGATGATTGAAACGATTGACACGATTAAAACATTTCTTTCACACGAAAAAACAAAAACTTTTGGTCACCTTTTAGTTCATTCTTCCTAAACATGTGCTCGAGCCGCATAAACAGATGAGTTTTTTTCCTTCCGATTCGACACCAAACTGAACGGAGGGTGGAAAGGAACATAATGTTATGGAGGAGATGAGTGGCACAATTGAGAAACGACTAATGAGAACAATTCTGGGGCGAAAAAGAAGGCATGATTATTCTATCCGTGAAGCAAAACGAAGCAGGCGAATTGGGGGAAAGTGAACCGCCTCCATCGCAATTCCCGCTTTGCTCTATTTCTTTCTCTTACCTGATAGTCGTAGGTTATTTCTTCGTGCGCTACAATGTCCCTCTTGGCAAAGATGACAATGTGTTTTAAGTTCTGATCACAGCTTACTATTTTACAAAAACAATTTGGCTGAAAAAAAAAGGGGGGTGGGGCAAAAAATGGAGGCGTAAGAAAGACGGCACAATCCCTGGGAAGGAGTCATACATGTGCACGTAACTACGGAAGCACCACGGAGAGATCCTTCTGCTGACGAGTAATAATCTACGCGTTTCTATTTCCGACTTACCTCGCAACTGTGGTTGATAAATCTGCTGACGTTTCCCCACTTGGTTGCATCAATGATTATATTTTCGTTTAGCCTGAACATGTAACAGCTACTCTCAATTTTGTCATAATACTTTTCCCTCTTGTCACTTATAATGTTTCTAATGTATTCACCGATGTACTCGATGACCGGCTGAAGAAGGAGCACAAAAGGGGGGAGAAAACCAAATGATTATATGCGGAAGCAAATAGACGCGACGCTGACACACACTGTGTTGGGAAACAAACCAAACGGATACTAACGATAAAAGCACACACCACGGTACACGCAGCGCGGGAGAAAGAAAAAATGTGAAGGAATCAATTCTTTGCTTACCTCTCCCTGATTAATAAACTCGGACGTGTAGAGTCCATATCCATGAATGCTGCTCTTCTTGACGTACAGCCGCGAATTGGATGAGATGTTCATTAGGTAGCGGTAGGACATTGCGCTGTTGATGTTGTACTTATACTTGACCGTTTTTCTCATGTTCCTTTCCTGGAGGGGTGGCAATAACGGGGGGAGGAATATGTCAACAAGTGGGGGTTCACTCAGGAATGCCACGGGAGGGATGGATGGAGAGGACTCCTAATTATACGGGACAAAGCTGCTATGCAGAAAAGCAGATGCACGCTCATAATCACGCTGACGCACTGCAGCCGCGAAGTCTCACCTTTTCCTTCTCGTTCTCCTTAAAGATTGAGGTGTCCAAATTGGAGTACTTACACAGCAAGTTGTCATTGTATATGACTTCCCGCGTGCAATTCTTTACCCTCTTATTGCATTCCTCCCTGAAAAAGTGCCACAGAAAATAGTGCCATGGGTGCGTGTTCGAAAGCGTAAAAAACATATATAGGGGGGTTATGTGTTTGCATGCACAATTGCTGTAAGAGATAGGAGGTGAGGGGGGGGGAAAGGACCAATCAGGACCTCCCAACCACCAATCCTCGTACGTCTCCTGAGCCGACTCCACTTGTTATCAGCGCGCTCACCTTTTTCCGGACCTCCTAAGGTAATTTCTAATCCTGTGATTCACATTTTTCCACAAGTACTTAAAGAGCTTGTATTTCATTTGATAGATAACGCACGGTAGGGTCAAGCCGAAGAAGTCATGGGGGTCGACTGCCTTGACGTTGTGTTGCACAGATTTGAAGATATAACTCTGCAGCAGCTCAAGCAAGTGGGAATACCTGTTGACGTACTTTTTATATTCATCCGACATGTGCATATTATTGTTAAGGTCTCCATTTGGGAACTTAAAAAGGGACAAAAACTTTGCATATACTTCTTGTATGTCATGACTTTCTGCTAAAAGGAATTTCTGAGCATCTCTTACGGAAAAATGGTCAACATTTATTAAGGGAAATAGCATGATGGAAAAGAAAAAATTTTCATTCTTTAAAGTAATGCAGAAAATGTAGGTGGCACGTATTTGTAAAAATATCCGCTGCAACGTTTTCTTCTTCTCATCTTCGTCGTCGAAAATGGCGTCTTTATAAATATGAAAAAGGTACGAGGAGGGCAAATTAAAGAATATTCTCATGTTCACAAAACCGCAGGGATATATTCTCTTCTCTCCATTATATTTTACAATTTCACCCATGTGTAAGATGTTGTGACATCCTATTTTGATAATTCTATACTTTGAGAGGTTCAGATTATTTCTACAATTAAACTTATAGTTCGAGAATAGCTTTTCATTTGTTCGCTTGATAAACACATCATTCGTATCACTTATAATCGTATTTAAAAAGAATTCCCTTCTGTCTGTTAAGCTGTTACTTTCGCAAGTGCTTCGTTCTAAACTTGTATTTCTGGTAGCTGCTACCATGGCTGCCGTAGTGGTGGTGCCATTCCTCTTGTTTGTTCTCCTCTTTGCTTCGCTCTTGTCGTCCGCATTGGGGCATAGTGCCACCGCATCGCTGCTCTCCTTACGGTCGCTATAATTACTAACATGCTGCAGCTTCGTTATATTTACGTTTCTGTTGACATCCCTTAACTCGAAGTAAAGGTTAATGCTTTTCATCTGTTTGTCTTTCCTTTCTTTGCTGTAGTAGTGCGCCATGTCCATTTCTTCCATTTCGTGGTCGCTACCGCTGCTCAGGTTATTCTCCGAGTTCTCAGTGTCCGATTCGGACTCGTCGTCGATGAAGGTAGTGTAGCAAATCTGACGCAGCTCCTGATGTTGCTGCCCTTGGCGATCATTGATATCACTTCTTACTTGGTCATTCGCTGCTGGTAAATTCCCTTTGTGGCTCTTATCCTTCACATGGGTCCTTGTCTCGTTTCGCGATGCGATGGCCAATCCCTCCACCCCATTGTTGTGAAGCACGTGCGGCAAATGTAGGTTGTAAATCTGCTCATCATTCGAATAAACATATCTGACAAAGGAATTCTCTTTTTTTTTTAAGAAAAAATACTCCTCATTCTTTAGTGCTATTTCTCTGCCGATGTATAAAAAATATTTGAGGATAAAATAGGACTTGAAGATATTTTCCACATTCTTATTGTCAATAATGTTTTGGATATTTACGTCATTTGTAAATGTGTCGCTCTCTTCATGCACTTCGCCGTTATTGTGTGCACCATCTTTGTTCATTAACTGCTCATTTGTGTCTTCACCATTCTGCTGATTTCTCTGAAATATCAGCTGGTACCTATCGTTAACGAAACTCTTCTCATCACTTTTGTTGGCACATTGGTTAATGAGGATTTCTAAATGTTTCATTTTGCTTTCTATCTTGCTTTCTTTATTTAGTACTTCCTGCACCCAGTCGAGGGGCTTCCTTCTGTACCTTATCCTCACGCACTCGTTTATGCTGTAGAGAATTTTATCCATAACGTAGTACGATCCGTTTTCATAATAGAAGTGGATGAAATGTTTGTAAATGTTCTTCAGACTTTCCATGACGTTTATTTTTTTCCTACTTGCAATAGGTTTAGGTTCCGGTTCGGCAGAAGTTCTATTATTTTCTCCTGTCCCTGCCTGCTGGCTTGCGCCATTGTTTTGATACTCTGCTTCTCTCTCGAGATTTAAACCACTTGTTGTTGTGTCATCCTGTTTGAGCTTACTACATGCATGGGAAATATCACCTTGGATTACTTCCCCACTCTTCGCAGTACAATTGGCGGGGTTCGAGAGTCTTCTTTTGATCTTTTCCACTTCTTTGTTGGATTCCTTTGCACTGGAACATTGCATGTTCTCCTTATTTATGTAGAACGAGTCATATATCTTCTTCGCATTCCAGCATTTATTGCACCACACTTTTTTTATCTTGTAGATGATGTGCACGGGGAAAATGCCCTCATATAGCGACTTCACTAGCTCCTTGTCCTCCGCATGACTGGACGACGAGTGGCAATATTTGTAAAAAATCGTGTCCTTGTTAAATTTAATCAATTTGAAACATTTTACATAAGAGAAAAAAATATTCTGATGAGAATTCTCTACCATGGTAGAGTAAAAAGCACAATTGAGATGAAATTTTATGTTGCAGTTTTCATTGCTGCAGTATATGCTGGCATTTTTGTAACCACACAGAAAGCACGTCGAATTTATGGAGTCATAAATTATTTCCTTCACATCATCTTCGTCTATTTCGATTATAGGTTCGTAGTTATGCAAGAAGTTTTTATTTTCTTTCCATTCGAACTTATCCATTAGTTTTATATTTTTTATGCTCTTTTTTACGTTTAGGATTTCTTCCGGTTTGGTCGTCTCTTTTGATAGGTTTTCCTCACTATGGTTGTGCTGACCTGCTTGGCTTTCCCCGTAGCATTCTTCCCCCTTCACAGGCGTTTCGCCTGCGGTTTGCGGATCTTCCCCTTTGTTCGTATGACAGTCAAAGTGGTTGTTACTTACGTGAGTGCTGCTCACGTGGGTACCAACAACATGGGAAATACTTCCAGTGGCGCTTCTAACCTGTGCACCAATGTGGGCATTGTTTCTGTCGAGACTCTCCTTAGTTCCTCCTCCCATTGTCTCATTCTTATCCGAAGATGAACCACTTTCTGCGGATTTCTTTTTGCTTTTTTTGCCAGACGAGTTCTTCGCTCCCTTTTTATCATTCGAGGGACTCTTCTTAACATCCACCATGCCTTCCGTCGCCCCGCCGACGATTCTACTAAGGCATTCGCAGCTACTGCTATTCAACCTATAGTATTGTATGCAATTTAGGCTCCATTTTAAGCATTCGCTATGGATAAAGATATCATAAAATGGGATTAACCTTCCCTTATAGAGGTAGTCTCCGTAGTGGCACAAAAGGCAAATCTTAGTGTTCCCATGCCTGAGTAGTTTCTTATCAGTGCCTTGGCATTTTATCATATTCAGGCTCTCCTGCCTGTATATATTAAGCATAATCTTCACGTATAAATTTAGTTTATTTTTTATGGTACACTTGATCTTCTTTACATATTGCTTTACTTTCTTTTGGAACTCGCTACTGTAGAAGGGGGTAACTCCAAGCTTGTCCTTCTCATTTTGACCATCCTTTTTGTATTCATCGCACGTTTTTTCATATAACAAAAGGGAGGTTGCACCTTGGGCATTTCTATTGCTAAACAGTTCTGGCATTGCTTCTTTCGCCTTTCCTTCTTTTGGCTGCCCTTTCTTACAACCGCTGCTACTGCGGGAGGTAGTCATAAAATCCTTTTTTGTCATGTAGTTTTCTCTATTCAGGAAGAGCAATTCCGAGTCCCTCTGGTTTAACGTTCGTATGGTACCTGCGAAGGTCTCCGTGTTTTTCATTTTGAAAAGCAAATTATGGTTAACTTTTCTCCTTTTTTTCCTCTCCGCAATGCGGACATTCTTCACGGGTGTCGCGGCGCCTTCAAGTGTGCATCCAAGTGTGCATCCAACTGTAGATCCAACTGTACATGCATGTGTAAACCCAAGCGCGCCATCGCTTTCGCGTCCTGCTCGTCCTCGTCTCGCTTTGACTTCCCCGTTGCACATTCGCTTCTTCCTCACCCCACTAACGTGGAACTTGTGCAAGTAATACAAATGCAAGAAATAAACGGAGTAACTGACTACGTGCTCAAAGTAGCTTCCCGCATTTCTAGGCCCGCTGGATACCCCCTTTTTATAATAACAAAACAATAACTTCCTCGCCGCGAGGGACATGCGAACTGAACCTGTGGCGCCACTCGATTTTCTTTTCCCCTTCTTAGCACAACCGGACATTCTCATGCAAAACAGGTTCAGAGCATATCTCAAAACATGATGGTGTGTCGATCCCAAAGGCATAACCATATTACCACTCCTATCAAATAAGCGCCTCAACTGCTCATCTCTCCTAACTTTGTTGCTGAAAAAGGGAAAAAACTCATCACACTTAAAAAAAAAGTTGCCAAAATATAAACGGTACAGGAGTTTCAGAATTGATTTATTTCTTCGGAGAAATTCATCTAACAGATGACAAAATGCTTCAAAGAAATTCCTCTTAAAGTACATAAAACTAAAGCTGATTTTTATCACGAAATAAACTAATTCATACAACATCCTTTTTTCATATCGTTCTCTGTTCAAGTTCAACAGACTCTTGGTCGAGTACCTGCTATTGTCTGGGTATGACATTATATATTTCTGAATGTTACCATAACGTAAGGTGCATGCGTTACACACGAAGAGGCTGTTGAAATTGTCACTTTCGTCCTCAGCGGTTCTCTCAGCGGCCTTGTCAGGCGCACTGTTGTCACCTTTCCCAATTTTGTATTCACAGAGCATACAACAGATGGAGCATTTGTAAACGTTTCCTTTGGTTTCAGAGAATTGCCTCACACTTGTGGATGGCTTGTTCTCCTTTAAGTAGGCACGGTTGAAGGAAATGTTATTGTGCACGGATATCTTGTTGATCCAGTAATTCCAGTCCGGGTCGCGCTTTGCACTGCGCTCGTTGCTTATGCTGAAGTAGTCCTTCTCCTCTTCATTCTTACTTCCTCTTTCGTCGCATCTACAATCATGCGTGTTATTAACAGGCACGTTTTTTTCGTTACTCTCAGGGGCAGTACCATCTACATTTTGACCATGTTTCGTTGCATCCGTAAAAAGTTTTGCCTCATTTCTTTCGTCTGCTTCATTTGCTTTGCTCTCGTTCGCATCGACATTTACGAGCTCTTGACATGCACTGGGATTACACGATGGTTCCACTGTTGGGTCTTTAATCGCGTTCGTGCTGTGCGTGACTCCATCAATCGCGCCGTCGGGGTTCATCTCTTCCTTCCCTTCATCAGCAACGCCCTTGCTTATGCTACTTGTGCTATTTTGTTCAACGGGAACTTCCTCCTCTTGTTCAATGATTTCTCTTTTAACCTGGACAACATCAGCCCCGCTAAAGAAGCTCGCTTCCCTAACGACGCTCATTGCGTTACCACTACCACACACTTTCTTCTCAAAGCGCTTCTCAACAGCCGCGATCTCATCCGCAAACGCGTTAAAGGAAAAGTCATTTTTGTACAACACAACGCAGCTATGGCAAAGGTACGAATTCGGGGTGACCCTCTTGAACTTGGACTTCAACACGAACTTATTCTTCTTTAGAAATCCGTTTAATTTGTTTATTCTGTTTCTCTTTCGATTACTGCATGTCGGTCCTCTATTCGGGGTACAGTTATCAGATTCGGGGGCATTCGAATATAAGCACAACTCCTCATCGCTACCTGTGATGTAACTGTCATCCATTTTGGATTTACCTTGCATGTTGCAATTTTTGGGAACAATATCAGAAATGTATGTGCTACCACAAACAAACTTGCTGCTAATGGAAATCATGGAGGAACTGCTGTTCCTCTTCAACTCGTGTAGTTTATCCTCCGCTAGATTATTATTCTCTGTAACTACTTTTCTTTCGTTTATATCCTTCTTCGTTTTAACCTGTGTTGTTCTGCTTTCGCACGCTTTCTTTTTATCCTTTTCTTCTGGATTTTTATTCGTTTTTGTTCCATTTTTTTTTTCATCTCCTTTATCTTTTCCCTTGAGACTTTTGTTTTCCTTTCCTTCTTTTTTGCCCTCCTGGGAGTATTCCTCTTTTTTCACCTTGACGTTTTTTTTTTCCGTTTCTGCTTTGGAAACTTCAGTCGCCTTCGAATCCTTTTTGCATTTTTCCCCTTTTATGCCCCTTTGTTTCGTTTCTTTCGCTTTATCCTTACTCTGTTGCTGCTCTTTTTCCTTCTCCTTTTCCTCCTGTTTTTCCTCCTTCGACGGCTTCTTTTTCGGTCTGGCCTTTTTCTCTTCCTTTTCTTCGTTCTTTTCTTCCTCCATTTCTTTTTTTTCCGCCTTCTTTTTGACCTCCTTTGCTGGCTTCTTTTCAACTTTTTCGGCCCTTTCTACTTCATTCTTTTCCGTTACTTTCTTTTCGGTTGTTTCCCTTTCGGTTGTTTTCTTTTCGGTTGCTTTCTTTTCGATTGCCTTCTTTTCCGCTTTTTTTTCTTCCCCCTTTTCGACCTCTTCATTCTGTTCGTTTTTGTCACTTCTTTTCCTTTTCTTCACATCCTTACTTTGACCTCCATTTTCTGTTGCGCTTTGATCCGCTGGGCACTTTTCCTTTTTATACTGTTTAGCGTTTGACGAGGAATTGTCGCCCTTTTTTTTCTTCTTCTCAATTTGCCCGCTTACATTGTTATTGAAACCTCTGTCGTTATTGCCGCTTGCGAACTCATTGGCATTCACTGCACTCAAGGAGCTCAGCCCGTTGATGTCACTGGCTCCATTTTCCTTGTTGATCAAAATATTCTTGCAGTAAAACTTGAGTTTCCTTTTCATACTGGTAGCCAGTTCTGCATCCTCCGTCGCTACTCCATTTGCATTGATTGTGTCATCTTCGAAGCTATACTTCACCTGATGACACAGATTTATGTGGATAGCTTTTTTGTCATTGTGGTTATAAAGAACGCACTTCTTGCTAACGGCTCCAAGTGGGAGGATAGACTTCTGCACATCTTTCTTCACTGCACGATCTGCAGTCTTAGAAGGATTTTTTTCAATTCTCATGTTAGTCATATTTTCTTTATGTAATTTGTTAGCCGAAAAGTTGGGGTTCTTATTGGCTGCGTCAAATTCTGGAACTTTGATATTTCCCCTTTCATTCACCTTCGCCAAGGAGGGTGCATTTTCATTAAACTTGAACACGCTGGGGTCGAAGCTACCGTTCTTGTGGCTGTAGTTGCTGGAGTATTTGTAGTTTCCTCCGCTGATATTTCCGCCGGTGTTCCCCCCCCCGGTTAAGTTTTCGCTCTCCGGAAAGGAGTTCTTCTTCTTGCCGCTATTTATAAACTTGTCCAAGTTGGGGATGTTTGACTTCAGCAGTGTTTTTGTGTGCGCCTGATCCTTCCTGTTGATATTTTTACTATAAATGCGGTACATTTCAGCGAATTTATTCTGGTTCCTCAGTTCATAGGCATCGGAAATATTTACGTACTTCATATTGCGAAATGCAGAGCTGCTTCTTCCATCTCTATTCACATCTGACACCTCTTTACTGTGCAAAATGATATTGCTGTCATCTTCATACAAAATGGGTTGTTCATTAGTAGCATTTACATTGATCATTATTTTTCGGTTCATTTCGACGTTTTCGTTATTTATCCTGCCATCAAACGGTGTAGCATTTACCTCAGGATTAAAATTATTTCTACCATTCCGCATAGGGGTATAATAATCTGAAGGCACATTCATATTTCCCATTTCGTGATTTGAAGGGGAGTTATTATGATTTCCCAGCTGGTTACAAAAATAGGAATTATTTTTATATAAGTTCATTTCGTTACTTTGTAGATACGGTCTGTACACATTCTTCTCCAGTGACATTTCATTCACTGCATAATCCACTTTTCCATGTGCATATGCAATTGGTGGGGGTTGCAAGTTCGCATTGTTTACAAATATACTGGGCATATTAGTTAGCATGTCGCTATCACTGTTCATGGGAAAATGCTTCACGTTCTTCACGTTTATCATATCGGTATAACTTCTTCTGTGACTCATTCTTTCCATGTTATTTTGATTGTTCACGTGCACGTTCGATGCTCTCATATTATCTTTGTAGTGGTACACGTTTTCTTCGTCCTTCGCGTAGGAGGCGTTGCTAAACGGGTGGGTCATTTCGTTGATGCTGTTAATCTGCGCTGTGGAGTTTTCACCGAAAAGGGGTCCTCCTGGGGGCACGGCACTATCGAGGTTGCTCATCCCTGTGACGGTCATGACACCCTTGACGCTTTCCACGCCGACGTTCTTTATAACCCCGCTGATGTTTCCCATTTCCCCCGAATTAATCACGCTGCCCAGGCTGCTCATCGTGTTGATGGAGCCCGCGTTACCCAAGTGGGCATAGTTCACAAACGGCTCCTTCTTGCCCTCCACGCCGTTCACATTTATTATCACATTGTTATTATTCAGTATGCTAATATTATGCACGATATTTATATCGTTCACGCTGCCGGAGTTGCCCAGGAGGTCCCTGATGTTGACTGTGTTGGGCGTGTTAACATTATTGTTCATGCTAATTAGGTTGTATAGGTTGCTTGCGCCATCAACGCTTACATTCTGGAGACTGCCACTGCTGCTACTGGAGAGGTTCTCTCCGTTGAAATCGCTGGCGCTGCTAACGCTGTTTAGGCTGCTAATATTGTTTATGTTGTTAATGTTATTTATGCTATTTATATTATTCAAGTTGTTCAGGCCGCTCACGCCTCTCATCTCGCTTACAGTACTCGTATTGTTCACGATTAGGACATTGCTGTAATTACTTACCCAGCACGGGGCAGAGCTGAGGGTCCTTTCGTGCATGTTACCCAGGTCGTTTATGTTCGAGTTATACTGAGATGGGGTGCCTATGTTGTTTACATTCATCTTCACATTGTTCGTTTTATCAAAATTGATTATTTTTCTGATAGGGCTAGAATTCATATTCGCTGCAGAGTACGCACAGTTAGCATTCTTCCCTGTGAGGGAGGTCAACTTTTCGATGTTCTTTTCGTTAAATTTGCAGCCCATCTTCTGTAGGCTCTTGTTCATGTACGTGCCGGTTTGGTTCTTCGCGCTGGAAGGGTTCAGCAGTTTGGATTTTGCATGTTCGCCAAGGCCGCTGACCCCAGCTGAGCCGCTTAACCCCCTGGCGCCTGTTACGCTCACATCATTCACCTTCGTCATGTCGATTAAGTTGGGAACACTCTTGCCGTTATTCGCCGTATCGAAATGGTTAACCCCGTTGGCGCTGCTACAAAGCTTCATTTCGCACGTGCCAAAACTGTTGATGTCAATGGGGGCATTCTTATTATTCTCCGCCCAATGCACAGAAGAAGGGGGTGTCGAGAATACATCATTTCCAATTGTTGCAAACAGCAGCGTGTCATGGGTTTTGTTCAGCTGATTTTTCACCTGCACGCTACTGGGGTTGCTTCCTTTAAAAAATTCACTTCTAGTGTGGTTCATGCTTCGTAGACCTGGATTATCATTAGATGCGCTTTTTGTAACACTTGAGCTACTCCTCTTCTTTGCGTGTTTCTCATTTGATGCCTTTCTGTTCGAGGGCACTGAAAAGGTCTTCGAAATTAAGGCGCGAATTTTTAGCAACATTTCTGAAATTTTCATATCGCCATTATTATCCGTAATGAGATTCTTCTTATCAAAAAGGGGATGTTTTTCCTTCTCACATTTATCCGCATCTTCCATCGTCGCATCGCTGTTTGGATTTTTGTTCAATCTGTAGTAATTTAATTTATCGTTAAGGTAACTGTGTAGTCCTTTCAAAATTTCGTTGAGAACCGAATACACCACAGATTCTTCAATGTTGGCAACAAATAAATGCAATAAGTTTTTCACTTTCACATTTTTCTTTTGTCTTATCACATCGTATATCTCAGTTATGAGGTGCTTATTATACACCTTTCCATTTATAGCTACAGTTTCGGTGTCTGTTTCTGCTTCTTCTGCACCTGTTAAAAATTGTCTTACAAACTCATCACTGGGAATGACGCCATTATTGGAGAGCTCATTTTTGAGTAAAGGGCTTTTGGTTGTATTAGTTTCGTTCGGTTTAAGTACCGATACGTTTCTGCTTACTATGGAGCATTCAACCTTACTGTTAATATTGATGCTGGTCGATTGAATATTGCATTCATCACCGCTGTTTCGATTCACAGTGCATTTCACACTCGTGTGGATGTCCTCACTAAGAACATGGCTGCTGGGGGTGCTAAAGTGTGTCTCTAATTTATCCTCCTTTGGCGTGTTCGATTTAATGGGGGATGGAACCATCTCCATCATCGCCGAAGCACTCGTTGTCTTCGTAGTGGTTCCCGTTCTGTCATTATCCTTCGATGCGAAGGATGTGATCACACCGTTCGTCTCTGGTGCGTTGGCCTCCTCCCCAACTTGATCACTCTTCATCGGTGTGTTATTTTTGCTGATTGGTACGTTCGCCTCGTTTAACGTGGTATCCAAAATGATCTCCTGGGGAGGCACATAATCGCCCGAGTTTGAGGTAGATAACCCCTTCGCTGATTTTTCAGGCGAATTCATTTTTTTACTAGGACTCTTTTTTACGTATCCCCTTTTGAATATAGTCTTTACAGTCTTCTTATGCATATCGTGGCCGTTATTATCTGTATTGTCGCGGTTATTATCTATTCGATAAAAACATTCATTGTGTATGGATTTTCCACAGCACAAGCACTTTATTATGGTTTGCGCCTCTTCATGTACACTCAGTATGCTGATAATACTATTTGGGGCACTCTGGTCCATCCTTTCATTTTGATAATTTTTTTTACTACTAGTTGTTTTCCTTTTTGGCGACATTTTTTTCTTTTTTGGCGATAACTCTATTTCGCTATTCGTTTGGATACTTTTGGATTCTTGTCTCACATCAGCGATGGTACATGTGATGGGAGGGTCTCCCATCTGATCTTCCAAGTGGATGCCCACGTTAATGCTCTTATGGTTGTCCCTCTTTTTTGAGCACACGCGTGGGTTATTACTATCCAGTTGGTTTTTCTCCCCCTGCTGCTGATGATTATCATCCACATTTTGTTTCTCCATTTTGGGCGTGGAGGGGTGGTTAACAGAGCATCTTTCCCTCCCTTCCCTGTTTTCCACTGGTTCCACTTTTACAAACTGACACAGCTGTTGCATGCTACTTTGTTCATTCTTTGGAGTTTCATTCAATTCACTAATCATGGGAGATGGTGTTTCCCGTTTTTCAGAAAATTCGAGGGCTTCGTTATCTTCCAGTGTCTTTCTCCTCTGTGCGTCTTTATCCTTCTTCAGAGTAACTACCTCTATCTTCAAATTGTAAAAATAATTGAACGTTGCTTTTTTGGTAAAATGGTATCCACTCCAAGTATCCATACTGCTCATGTTCGAGTAGAAGGTATCCCTCACGGCGTCGCTAAAGTGACTATCGCATTTGTCACACTTGATGCACTGATTACACTTAAAGTTCCTCGTGATTATGTTAAAAATTTGATTAATCTCCTCCCTGTGTTCTGAGTAATCAACTAAGTTAAACAAAAAGGGGTTGGAAATATTAGCACAGGCGTAGTGAAGGGACATTCCACATGCACCGCAGTAAACCAGCGGGTTTTTATACTCTATGCATCCGCAAACATAACAGTACTCTTTCAGAATGTCATTGCTGAGAAGTTTTATTTTTTTATTTGGTACGTCATTCTCAATGGGGTTGCTTCTAACAGGGCGATAATTGGGGGCGTTTCTAAGATTTGTATTCTGGCACCTTCTTTTTGATCCCCCTTTGGAAGTTCTTCTTTCCATGAGAGAAATGATGTCATCGAGGGATATAGCCTTTCCTCCTGTGTTCCTATCATCGTCCTCCATCGTTACATCATCCGCACTTTCATTATCGCTAGTGTTGTAGTTTACACGGGTTGTAACGTAGTTCATTCTTACAGATGATACATTCTTCGATTCCCTATGCTCATTTGGACTCTGCTGGCCAAAAAAAACTATCTGAACAGACTTCAAAAATTTGTACGGATTGTTCACTGGGTTGACAATTTTGGTCACCTCCTTAAGCACCTGGTTCATTTTGACTTTCTCCTTCCTGATGTCAATCATGAATATGTTATCATTGACAAATAGATTCGAATTGCCACCATTGGAATGTATCTTATGTTCTCCCATTGCATCCTCCTTTGGGAAAATACTATCCGGGTGATTATCTACAACGGGAGTAGTAGTTTTCTCTTCTCCACTGCTGTTGTTACCCTGTAGGAGATTCCCCTCGGAAGAGAATTCGTTCTTGGCTGATCTGCAGCTCGACGAAAAACTTCCCTTAGTCAGAAGATGCATTTTCCTTATCTTACAAACGTCAAATTCGTCAAATCGATCAAAAGATCGATTAAAATAAACTTTCCCTTTCACATTAACGGTAAGGAGGTTATAATTGGTTATGCCACAACTTTCGGGAGCAAACATTTCCTGATTTTTGTGGATAAACACGGAGTCGCTTTTAAAATTGAACAGTTCGTGTAGCTCATACTGCGTGATGTCCTTGTCAAGCATCTCCAATTTTCGCTTCCTAAGGAGGTTACTGTTTAAGAGGCTCTTACCCACATTGTTGTTACTGAAGTTGTATAAAACCGTATCGTCCTTATTTGGGGGCATATTTAGAGGATTGTTATCATACCCTCCCATGGAGTTCTTCTTCTCCATTGGGGTGTAACCACTATATAAATCGGTATCATTCATGTATGATTGCACATTAGTTCCAATATTTCCAATGCCATTTTCAAATGTACCATTTGCGTTGACGCATCTATGTGATTGGTATGTTATACCGCTGGAGTTATTCACGCCACCGGGAACCATGTGCACTCCATCCTGCAAACTGTGCTCATTAAGGAGTGAGATTCCCCGAAAGTTCGGGGCAGCTGCATCTGGATGGTTATTTCCCCCCGTGTGGGTGATGGCACCATGTTGCGAGTGGTAGAAGCCCGATTTGGTAAACTCGCCCATAGTGGTCACCATCGCGTTGCCACTTACAGGGTAGCCCAAATGTTTCATATTTTCTGCGTGGTACGAATAAAGAGCAACATTCTTCTTATCGACATTGCTGTCAACGTTCTCGTCGAGAATGTCGTCTCTACTACTATTGTTACAGAGACTAGCGCTTAGTTTATGCCCACCGGATGTGATGATGCCCTCGTAATTTTTACCCTCCTCTTCCATTTTGTTATTATCATTGGTTACATCTTCATTCGTGGTCTTTTTGTAAGTCTGCAGACAATCATCAATGTATTTGTTCAGCTCGTCATTGTCCAAATTGAACATATTCTTTATGATAACTTTTCCTTTCTTTTCAAAGTTACAGGCATTTTTATAAATTGGGGTGTTTGGCATATGCACTGTTTTGGCATTATGTATGATGAGGAAGAAGTCGTAGAGGAACTCCAATATGGTACTGTATTTCTTCTCCCAGATTTTCTTCTTCATAATGTAAAGGTTCATCGGTATTTTGACAATTCTCCAGTAAATGTAAAAGTTGATAGGCACGTGGAAGGTGAAATTTTTGTACTTATCGAGCAGGAAGAATAGGTAAAGAATTCGCTCAATTTTATCATGGAATGAACCCGACCTACAGGTGGGGCACTTATAGTTGATACTTTTTATGGACAATGTTTCAATATTTCTATTTTCATCTTTATCGCAACTTAGGTGAATCCAAAATTTGCACACATCACATTCCACCCACTTGTTGCTATCATCTATTTCGTACTTCTCATTACACATTATGCAAAAGTTCTTCTTCTCATATTCTTTGTAGCAGTTGATGCAGCAGTTCAGGGGAAGCTCCCACTCGTTGTAGTTAATGAAGCACAAGTTGGAGTAGTCACATTTGTTGCATTTCAGACAGTCGTCGCACTTCCAATTAAAGACGTAAATGTCGGGCACATTCGGGATACAACAAGATCCGTGTGCAATCATGTTACACGTTTTACATATCACATAATTGGCTATATTGGGCGTCTGTTTATAATCGTATATGCTCTCACAGCAGTATATGCATCGATAGCAGTCTTTACACACATATCTTTTGTAACTAATGTCATTGTACTTTACAGCTGGAACGTAATTTATGCACTTCCTTGACTTTTTATTTTTCGATTTTGTGCAGTTGTCCGATTCTTCCACATCGCTATCTTCTTCATCAGTGAATTCGTCGCTTTGGTTTTGCTCCTCTTTGTCGTCACTCTTGTACTCATTTTCACTGTCATTCTTTTTGCCATTTTCGTTTGGGCTCGTACACTCTTTGCCTCCTTTCTTTTTTTTGGTGTTGCTGCTCTTTTCCTCTGCATCATCATTTTCCTCCTTCACCGCATCATTCGACGAATCCTCCGCGCGTTTGCTCGACCCGTTCTTGCTACTCCCGGTGGTACTTTTTCCATTGGAATTTTTTTTCTGTTTGTTCGACTTGGAATCTCCCCCCCCTCGTGCCATGCATTTCGAATCGCTAAAACTGCTGCTGTTCTTCTTCACCGTATTCGATTTTTCATCCTTCTTGTTGGAATTCTTCGCGCCTTTCTCCTTATCACTCCTGAAGCATTTCTTATCCTTCTTGAGGCTGTTCTTATAAATGTACTTTTTATACTCCTTCATTAGCACATTTTTGTCATACGCCTTGGCGATTATCACCTCATCGTCGAGACACTTGGCGTGGAATTTCTTCGAACAGATAGAACACTTAACGCCCCAGTACACGTCAATAATATCTTTCTCATCCATTTCCTTTTTTTCCAGTTCGCTGCTTAACTCGTATATCATGGTGGAGAGGTTATTCGTGTAATGGTCATGCCCCTTAATAAAAAGGATGTTATTCTTACATATGGAGCAGTGGTCTTTCTTCGTCAAAAGACTGTAATCGATTAGCTCCTTCCTTTTGTCATTTTTATCGCGTATATCAAAGCGCTCAAATTCTTTCTCCGTCTTTAGCACCTTTATGTTGTAGAAGTGGGGGGAATACCAGCCCTTCACATCTGAGAATATAAAATCGCATTTCTTCTTTGTATTTTCTTCATCTAGACTTTTCTCATAATTGAGGTACATCATTTCTTCCCTTCGGAGTATGCTCTGGTTGTTCTGATTGACTACCTGTGCATGTGGCCCCTCCTCCTTCTGCCTCTCGCTGATCTGTTTGCCCATGTCCTGATCGACCCCACCATATTGTGCATCTCTTAAGTCGGCCAAGAGGTGATAATCTTTCGAATTGTGGTACAAGGATGCGGAGGTGGCGCCTGATTTGCTCCCTCCTCTTGAGTATCCCATCTCCCTGTTGATACGCTTAGGAGAATCCGCTATGGACCCGTTGCATTTGAAATTTTCTATATGGTGAATAAAAAAATGCTTATATTTGGGGGAGTAATACTTTATAATGCCGGTCTTGAAGTGACTCTTTTTTTTGTTGTCCTTCTTTAGCTCAAAACTGACGCGATAGCCAATATATTTAAATCCCCTTTCTTCATCCTTCAATTCGATGTACTTGTTGGATGTATCCGTTTGTGCTTTATTACCCTCTTTTTTCTTTTTCAATCGATCCAAGTTATCCTCGAACAGAAGCATCATCCCATTCTCCGCTTCGTACACGACGTTGTAGTTATCAATGGATTCTTCAATTATGCAGTTAAAAAATTTGGGTCTCTTAAAAAGCACTTCCTCATCATCCATGACAAGATTCTCAAGAAATAATGTTTTCTCCACTTTATTGAGGAGCTTCCATTTCTTCTTCATATTGTTATTATGGGGATCTAGATAGAATTTCGTTTTCTCCTCCGATCCTTTAACCATCTTGATTATATCCACCATTCTTTGAACATTAAAATAAAACTTTTTCTTGTCATTGTATATGATGCCTGTGTAGTTGTGCTCTTCCTGTTCCTTTTCGCACGCTTTATTTTCAATTTTCACCTTCACATTGTTTCTTTTTCTGCTTTTTTTATCATTCACATTTTTGGATAATTCCTTTGTCTTCTTCATCGGGGAATCTTCGCTATTTTTTTTCTTCTTCACATCTGCGTTTCCTCTTTTGTCCTTGTTATTTTCCTTAGTATTTCTTTTGGCATTTCCCTTGGCGTTTCCCTTGGCATTTATCTTGGCATTCATCTGGGCATTTCCCTTGGGGGTTTCATTAGAGGAAGGTTCCTCCTTAACTTTGGTGTTTTTTCTGTCGCTTTTGTCTGTTCCCTTGGAGAGGTTCTCGTCATCGGCATTTTTTTCTCCTTTCTTTAATTTCCCATTTCCACTATTACTGACATTGTCGAAGTCATCGCAGTTGTTGCTTGAGTTCTTCAAGGCGGAGATCTCCTCAGCTTGGTTTCCGCTGCACTTATTGCTGTTTCGTCCGTCACCGTCGCTCATGTTGCTTCCTTCAGACTCCTTCTTCTGCGCAGCAATAGTTGCTACATCTTGTGTATCTTCTTTTATTTCTTCCTTACTGCCGCTACCCCCCTTCGTTCCTGTGCCTTCCGAATGATTCCCATTTAGGGGCTCATCCGCCGACTGGATGGGTTCCTTTTTACACAAATCCTCTTTCTTCACACCATTGGTTTCTTTAGCGGTCGACGATGCATTCTCCTCAGTTGGAATATGCAACTCAGTTGATTCAGAATTTTCCGTTTTAACATTGGGACTCTCCTCCTCCGCATCGGAAAATATTATGTCGCTCATTTTTTTTACTTTTTTTAAATATTTTAAGCTAAACACCTTTAAGAACTTCACAACGTAAAGCTTGCTACTATTTCTTACATAAAACGGATCGCTAACAATTTTGACATTTTTATCGTTCAAAATGACATCCTGAATGGCTATCACTTGAAGAATATTTTTTTCGAATTTTTCCGTATTCAAAATTAAAATGCGAAAGTAGAAATCTTTAACAATTTTATAAGTTAGAAAATATTTTTTTCTCTTATTTGTAACAATCTTTCCAATTCTTAAATGCACATCGCTGTAGAAATTTTCAAATATTTCTTCATCATATTTTAAGAAATTGTTTCGAGTTATTTTGAGTTCTTTATATGGTCCCTCTGCCATTTCGTTCTTGTCCTTCCCCAATGCGGAATCAGTGGGGGGTTGATTCACCTGGTTATTAATTTCGCCAAACACGTTTGTTGTTAGCGGTCCGTTCTCTGGGTTGTTCTCTTTTGGTGGCTCGTCATATTCTTTCGTTAAATGCTGATTCGACTGCTGAGCGTTTTGTTCCTCCTCAGATTCCCTATTTGGTGGTTCTATATCTAGTTCGTGCGAATCGCCCTTGTCTTTTTCTTCTCCAATAATCGCACATACGGTTGTCTTACAATCCTTTTCGCTCTGCATAACGTTGGGAAGTGCATCTGCTTTCTCTTCAACGTCGGCATTTTCTCCCTTTGGAGAACTCCCCTCCTCCATGGGACTATTCATTTTTTTGGTTTCTTCGCTTAAGCGGTGTGTTCCTACTTCATCGAGCTTCTTTTTTTTGCCGCCCTTTTTCTTCTTCACACGACATTTTCTATTTTTTCTAAAATGAAAGTAAATCTTTTTTCTCTTCTGAATGTTCCTTAACGTGAAATTGTAATTTTCGTAAGGAAGGCAGTTTGCCCTCTTTCTGAGGTGCGATTTCTTCCCTTGGCTAATTTCATTTCGTCTTTTTCTCTTCTTATGTGCATAAAAAAATGAGTCATACAATTGGGAAGAATTGGGGAATACCATTTTATCTTCCCTATCATTGCATTGATATTGTTTAACACATTTATCATAAAAAAGGATGTTATTATATGGAATTTTTGACTCCCCCTTTTTTTTTGGAGAGGAACAAATTACATATGTGTCGGAATACGAATTTCTTTCACAGCTTGTGTCACAATTGAAAGAACAACTGTATATTTGATTATCACTATGATTGGTAAAATGTATTTTTTTAATCTTCTTTTTACATTCGGAATGATTAGTCATCCCATGCAGTGATGACAACGACATGAGAGAATTACTACCCGCTATTGCTTTATTAAAATTTAACTTTTGTAAATATTTAGAACTAAAAAAACTGCTCCGTTTGGAGTTATCAATATTTGAATGGTAAGTTTTCCCGTCACTACGTAACCTTTTTAGAAATACTTTTTTCTTACATTTTTGGGTCTCAAAAGTGTCATCTGCAACCTTGCTAATAATTTGCCTTTTCATCTGTAATGCCTTCGGCGAGGAAGTCTTACTTATTCGATTACTATTTAGAAAGTCACTGCATTTTACAATACTGCTTCGTATCCTTCTTCCCCATTCGATGAGGAACTTGTTACGATTTTGGTGCAGATCAACAGAATGTCTGTTCTTTTTCGATTGATCCATCTCGTCCGCTTTTAATTTAGAACGTTTCTCCTTTTCTACTGCCATATCGGCTTTTCGGCGGCTCTTGTGTTTTTTTCCACCCTCTTGATCATCGAAACTGTGTGCCCTGTCTTTGCTTCTGTTAGTGCCGTTGGTGCCATTACTATCCTTGCTGGTGTTTCTGCTTTCCCCGTTATCGTTAAACCTATTGTTATAACTGGTAAGGGGTGAGTTCTCATTCAGGGAACCCTTACTTTCTAACTTGGAAAAATCCGTGTTGTTATCACTTAAAAAATTCTTTATATCCATTTGGAAATCGTCTGGCGTATTATTGTGACATGTTTTGTAGCCGTCACTGGCGTCATCCATAAGGGTACATATATTTTTGTAGCTGATGAATTCGCGCAAATCGTCTTTTACATTAGCAGTTGCTTCTTTCTCATTTTCCGACTTGTCACTTGCGCGGTCTTCATTTTTATTTATGCTTATGAGTTTGCCACTTAGAATACCCCTTTCGTCCTCATGTATACCTTCTGATTTCTCCTCATGTTGTTGTCTTTCCTTTTTCATTTTATCTTTTTCACTTGGTGATTCACTCATCTTTTTGTTTTCTTTTTTTTTTTTTTTACTCTTTGAAAAACTACTCTCTTTTCTTTTATTTGGAAGATTTTTATATTACATTTTGAAATTTGCCTTCTTGAAATATGTACTGGTACGTATTGCCCTGTATGGCTATTGTATATCGCTACCCATGAATATAAAGTCTTAAAGACTTCTTCCACATAAAAGCATGTGCACGTGCGCACAGCGCATGCGAAGAGGGGCTGGCATAAATAAGAACGTACGTCGACGTATATACATACATGCATATGCATATATATTTATACGTGAATCCACGCATCACGTGTACGCACCATGCGAACAAAAGGTACAGTTCATACAATGGAGCAGAATCCAAAACCCAGTGAGGGGTGGAGTTCTTAAACACTCGTCATTGCGCAAACATGTAAAAAAAAATGCAGCAAGAAGCGTTTTTCTTTCCGTTCATTTCCCTTCTTAAAAGAATGGCATAAAAGTGGTAAAGATTGTCAAATGGTTTTCAACTGGGGTGAAAATGTACATGCTTATAAACATAAAAAAATGCTCGCAGTACATGTAAACATATAAACATGTACATTAAGCATATATATTAAGCATATACATTAAGCATATACATTAAGCATATACATTGAGCATATACATTAAGCATATACATTAAGCATATACATTAGGCATGTACATTAAGCATATACATTAAGCATATACATTAAGCATATACATTAAGCATATACATTAAGCATGTACATTAAACATGTACATCATACATGCAAGTACGTATATTATTAAGGATGTACATTTAAAAAAACGAAAAAGAACAGAAAAAGGGAAAAAAAAGGAAACTGTAAAAAAATATGCAAAAGGCCTTGAGCTTTATAATTATACTTCTTAAGTAAAAAAAAAAACCCTTTAAAAGGGCACTCCTTGGGCGATTTTATAACAACCCTGATCTCGTTAAATTGGTTCATTACAATAATTTGAAAAAAATATTTCTGATCAAAGAAAAAATTTGGCCGACGAAAAATTGCCGCGCGAATATTACGCGCGTGAGTATATGTACATACGGCAAATATACTATGCACATATTTATATATGCATATACATAGATAACGTATGCAGCATCTATCCATCCATTTATATACTTAGATATATAGCCGTATAGTAGTGTTCGTATTCCCACCCTTATGCGAGGAATAATACGCCCAAGTCCATGCCGTGCGCACGCGATTAATTCGTATAGATAGGTACGCCCATATAAGTTTATGTACCAAAAGCATATTTATACGTTTATATAATTTATATATTCTTACAGACGTGAGATCGAGAGGTAGCACCCATCATCTCATCCATGTATCCCATGAAAGGATACAAGAAAGCTTTCATTGGATAGAGTGCCACTATACCTTCGCCCGATAACGTATGCAATCGCGTTTACTTTGAAAACAGAGCATAAAAAAAGTAGCTAAGTATTTTTAGCATTCGTTTGAGAGGAATAAACATTTTCAGACGAAATTAAAAAACGGAATACGTATGGTAATTGTATTTTGCGAATTATATGTACATAGACCGTTATTTGCATTTATAGGCATACGTGAGCGGCAACCATAAAAAGAATTCGTTTTGTGCCTTTTCCGCGAAATCCAGATTTTTAATAATCAATCGTAAAAAATGGCAATCGCTTTTTCCTTTTTCCGAAGATAAAAAAAAACAAAGTAAAATAAAGCAGAACAAAAAAAAAGCAAAATAAAATAAACCAGAACAAAACAGAAGAAAACAAAGCAAAATAAAACAAAAACAAGGGGAGGAAATGTTCTTGAGCCAAAATTTAAAAAGCTTAATTCTCCTTTAGGGGGACATTTAATACATAACCACTTTTTCTAATATATTCTTTCTTTTTTTTTTATTTTTACAACATATTGCAGGGGGGGAAAAATGCTGCTAACATATTGCATACTTGCATATCGTTATAACGTATATCCCATTTGAACGTTTTTCCTTTCTCCCCTTTTAAGGAGTTCTCCCAAATGTATCATTTATCATTTTCAAACAATTGTTAAAACAAACGGCTGGTTAAGTGCTGCATTTATTTTGCTAAACGAATGCGGCAGATCCTAATTCTCAATTTGGGTTTATAAATTTTCAAAGACTTCCTTTTGTTTGTCCCATTTGGCAGCATTACTTCTTGGCCTTCGAAAGAAAGCAACCTTAGCGGTAAACATAAACAGAATCACGGCCGGACGCTCGCATGCATGTGCGCGTACGTTGATGTAAGCAACACGTACGTATATGTGTATTTATTTGCGTATTATGTACACCAACGTGCATCCAGAAGTGATCAGTGGCGATAATCCCCACTGCGCAAAAACTTTTCGAAGAACTTGTCTAAACAGTTTAGGCCTCATATGCACATTAAGTTCGCTGGCTAACGCGTGTTACACTTTGCGGCTATTTGTTCATGTCTTAGACAATCAGAATAGTACAGCTTTAGCGGCATTCCGGGGGCCGATACGCCTTACTGGTATACCAAACTGTTTGCATATTTCATTTTAAAATTTTCACAAAATTGCCACTTCGTGAAGTAGGCGTTGAAACATAGCTGCTTATGAGCATATTGTTCACCCCTCCCCCCAAATGGTAGCGTTAACCATCTTTTATTGCCTTTCCAAATTGGGGAAATTCCCAAGGCGATGATGTCTTCAAAGAAAGACATCTTCAAAAATGACTGAATAATCATAAACAAAATTTTGAAAGTTTTATAAACAAAAAAAAAAAAAAAAAATAAAATATAATAGAATAGAATAAAATAAAACAACCAATAGCCACTTTATCGCATAATCTTATCATCGAAAAAAGGCAAATGCATTTTTGTGTGTAAACGATGTTATAAAAATTCGGGCACTTTTCACAACTTAACATGTATTTTAAAAATGTTGTCCTTTTTTCTCTCCATTTTTAGTTAACTGAATGGAGTTTTCCATTAGAAACAGTTTTTACAACATTTGTTGCAATCATATGTTCGTGCATTTTGCACAAACTTTTTTTCTGTTGCTTCGAAGGCATCATTCCATCTTCATATGTTGATGGAGCTTTCTCCTATCCACATGGCTTCACGCAAATTCGTCGTTCCCATCCTCCTGTGTGCCACCTTTTCGAACTTAAATTTTTTTTCGCTTAGTTTTCTTTTTCATGAAAAGCTCTCCGGCGTTTCTTATGCTGTCCTTCTTTTGAAAAAGGTAAAAGTTCTCATGAATTTTCGTTTTCCTTTCCCTCTTTAAATAACTGAATTTATCATTTGCTGGAACGAAAACTGAGTTGATGAATTCATGTTTGTCCGCAACCCTTTGAACGACCGTAAATCCATCCTCGTCTACAGGGCCTAATTTTTTCTTCCCCTTATTATTTTCTCTATTTATCTTTGAAATTTCGTTAATAATTATCTTCCTCTCATTATATAAGTCATAATAATTTTCATAATACTTTTTTATGTAATACGCGAATTTTTTTTTTTCCAAATTTATAAAGTATGGTGATTGCACACTGCTTTTAAAATAATCATCCACCTGAATGGAGTACTTCAAAATAATTTCAACCACATTTTTTTCTCGGTATGTTATATACGCACAATAGGCAAATTTTTTAAAATTTTTCGATAAATGCTTTTTCTCTATAACGGTAAAAGAGTTTATTTTTCCAAAATTGGAAAAGAAGCTCTTTAAATCTTCCTCGCTCACAATGTTATCCAGTGCCGCTGCGCAAAGCGCGTCGCTCTGCGCGTTGTCATAGTCTGAAATGTCTTTGCAATTGGCTACAAACAGCTGCGAAGGGGGGAATCGTGGGGTGCATAAGCAATTGACAGCGCCCTTATATATGTATTATATGTATGTATATAAATATACTGCGCGCGGCATACATGTAAATGCAACCGTTTTTCCTTTCCTGACATATCTACGCGGCAATTTTGCAAACAGCCCTCAATTGGCATTCTACGTGGTGTTATTCCCACGTGTGATGGGCAAGAATACACATCCATGTAACTTTTTTTTTAATCATTTACGCTTTTACATTTATGGTTGTAAGGGGGTTATTCTCCACAGGTATGCTCAAAATGCGGAAGTGACCCAAAATGCTCTTCATTTTGGCGAATTAAAAACAAATTTTTAAAAAAGGAAGAAAAAAAAGGGGAAAAGAAAGAAAAGGAAAAAAAGCAACATACGACAAAAAAAAAGAGAAAGCATATACATGTCCATGCACATACGCATACCTATATGCACGAGTTAACAAAACGGCTTCTGTTTACCTAAAGTATTCCTTTTCCCCATTTCCCGCAAATGCGAAATCAACAAAGTGTTAATTTTGTTGAAAAAGTGGATGTGCTACTCGCTCTTTTGGTTTTTTTTTTATTCTCCGTTTCTTGGCGCAAGGGGGCAATGTCAAAGTGGTTTTAAATATGTAAAGGTCACATTTTCTTGAAAATTATGTAAAACATAGGATCAAAAAAAGCAGCAAAATGAAAATGAGCGCCACAAGCAACCGCGGAAACCAAAAGGTGGAAAAAAAAGTGTTATCTTTATTGCAAAGTACATAAACAGGTAGCATCATAACGGGCGTTTTAAATCATGGAATGAAAAATATATTTTTCTGTACAATATATCTATATATATGCAAAAGAGAACACCCGTTTCGCCAATTTCTAAATCGTCAACTTGAAGTCACGCACGGGGTGAGATAGCGCTTTAGTTTTAGTAGCATAGAAGGTTACTGGAACGAGATTTCACCCTTGGCGTGCTCTGCATATTTTTTTTTTCTCCCTGGTGTTTTTTTTTAATTTTTGACAAAAATAAAAGTAACTGATGTTATGTTGCCTATAAAAAAAGGTTACTACCATAGTTACGCACAGACCAACCACAGTGTCCCTTCGTTTCACTCGAAAGTTAAGGAAATAATATAATTACATCGTTTGCCCAAATTACGATTGCTACAAATATGATGTTTCTTCTGTGTTTTGCTTTTACTGTATGGTGAACAAACTTCGATTTTTTTCCCCCGTTGATGTTTTGCGAAAAGATTACGGTGAAATGCTTACATATGTACTAGATATATATATACATACATATATACATATGTAGTACTTATGTTTACCTATGTACTATATCGCCACTCCTACGTTATGTCCCAAGCTCTCGTTAGCATGCATGTGATTTATTTTCATCCAAGTTTTCTCTGCTCATTTGTAGAAGCCTCCCTTTGACATGGCCTAAACCTCGCTCGTAATTTTTGCCGTATGAAATATCCCCCCCTCCTGTATCTACCACCCATCTGTTCATTTCAAACCTGAACGGTATTACTATATTTTTATATTAATGTTTAAATGTACGTGCCTACACGTTATTACTGCTAAGCAGAAAGCCACTTCGAACTGCTTTAGTTGACTGCCCTTCCTACACCTCCATTTCTGTTCGCATTAAATATAATTTCCCCTTTTGCTTTTCATATGAACAGTTTCTAATTTATATATTATTAATTTTACGGTTCTGTACTTTGTATTTTTATTTTTACATATATTTTTTACTTATCATTAAAGATCCTCGTTAGTGTAAAGCTTGTTTTATTTGACCTACAGTAGGGCCATAGTTTAGATAAGTTTGTGTGGCCATCTGTCAGCAGTGATTATTCTTCCTTCTTCCCCCCCCGGTTCACGAGCGCGCCACATCGCATAAACTGGCGGGCAATTCCCGTGTGCGCCCATCGGCGTGACCGCATGCTTAGTCCACTGCTTAGCCCGCAGCTCGCGCGGAGGCTTATTCTTGTGCTTACGCTCATATTAACGGTGCAACCGCTTCACCCCCCACACCATCGCGTCGCCCCGTGCACTTTTTCTATTTTTATAAAATGAATGAAGATGGAATAGGAGAGAATAGAAACAATTTTAAAAAAGGTGAGAAACGCTCCAAGAAGGGGAACCCCAAAAAGGTGGTCAACAAAGATGATCATACAAAATCAGATGCCACAGGTGCCCTAAGCGGAGAACTGAATAGCGGAAATGCGCGCGAGGGTGATGAAGCAAAAGAAAACGGCACCCACACTACAAACAAAAACAATACGAGTAACCTATTTTCATCAAACACGAAAAAAAACAAACAAAAGAATTATGAAAGTAACATGGGGAAAAACAACTCCGATATGCATGGAAACAACTTGAAAACAAGCCCATATGTCAACTTGGGGGATGATGATATGGATCAGGGGGCAGAGGGTGATGCTTATTATGGCAAGGATAACAATAATGATGTGAAGGATATGCAAAAAAATTACCAAGAAAGAAATGAAAATGAAAAGTTTGAAACTTATGATAATCAAAATAGTACCATTGTTGATGTAGGAGAGAATGCAAACAATCCAGAAGATGAAGAAGAAAAAAAAAGGAAAAAGAATTGGAAGAGAAGAACATTTAGTCGTTTCACCCCTGGGGGTGTACGCTCAAGTACAGTTCTGTTCATATGTACAGCCATAGGAGTCGGCTTTCTGTCCATACCGTATGTTTTTTCAAAGCTCGGGATAATATTAAGTCTGCTGTTGATACTTATAAACGCTGTGGAATCCTACGTCACAACAAACATCTTATGTTTATCATCCCTGGAGCATAACACATTTGTATATGGAAATTTGCTAAAAAAAATAGGACATAAGTACCACAAAACTATAATCGACATTGGGCTGACGTTTGGTTTTCTCTCCAGTTATATTTTGATATTGATACTAATAAGTAATTTTTTAAGTAGTATATTGTACGTTTTAGATTTCCCGTCCTTTCTTTATAACCACACCTTTCTGATTATACTTGTGTGTGTACTGATAGTACCTATAACATTTCGCGACCAAGTGGGATCTCTAAACTCCTTTTTGATATTTTCCCTATGCTCGTTAACGATAACGGTATTAACGATAGGATGGCAGGCACCAGACTACTACACCATATTGATTAACAAGGATATAGTGCTATTCAACATGGACAGGCATTTTTTCAAATGCTTCAATATTTTGTTGTTTTCCTTTTCGCAACAACCAAATGCATGTTTTATAACTGGACAGTTCAATCAGCCGACGCACAGGAGATTAACAAAATCAGCATACAGGAGTGTTTTGTTGCAAATTATTTTTTACACTCTCTTTGGCCTTCTAGGATATTTGTCCTTCCTAACCACGACCAAGGATAACATCATATTGAATTATGAAGACTCAAATATATCAATATTTTTGTGTAAATTTCTCCTATCAATAACGTTTTTTTTTTCCGTTCCGTTAAATTTCATGGGGTCCTATTCAAGCATACTATCCTTGTACTTATCCGCTCGTAATATGTTTCTTAAATTTTATGTGTTTGTCTCTCGAAGAAATAGATACCTGGCTAATTTATCGACCTTTTTACGCGAGGATGAAGCCAATCCGTTTGAGGACAATGCCCTTGATAATTTGACAGAAAATTCGAGCACAACGGAATCGCAAACGGAGGACAAAACCCAGCGAAAACTCATCTCCATTTGTGTCACCATTCTCTGCGCCCTTATAGCGTTTAATGTTAAAAAGTTATCCAACGTTATTGGCATAGGAGGAGGAATAACCTCTACGCTGATATCCTGGTAAGGATACCCAAAGCGTTTGGGTAGAATAAAGAGGAAAAAAAGTGCTTTCGATTGTTGTTCTCACGTCCCACATGTATATTTTCCTATGCCCTCTGTTAACACCGCATCCGTACGTTCCCTTGCCATTCATATTTTACCATGTCACCTTATTTTTTTTCCTCCTCTCCTTTCCCCACCCCTTTTAGCCTTTTACCCAATTTGATTTACTATAAAAATAGGCATAATGTGAAGAACAAGCTGGAACGATATTCAACCCTCTGCATGTTATGCTTTTTCTCCTTCATGGGTTTTTTTTCTGTCATTATTACTGCGTTAATTTTAATTTTTTAGCGAAAGGGAGGACGCACTTCGCCCTGAAGGCGTTTTTTGCACATCGGAAGGATTCCCCCTCGTCAGGTGTATTTTCCCGCGCCGAGTATATTTCCCCATTAGTTTCTTCCTTCCACGTGACACATATTGGGAACAGCCCCCATTGCTCGATGTTCATGTCTTTATATTTTTTTGTAAACAACGACGTTTTCAACGTGCACTTGTTTTTTCCCTGATTGGAATAACTTGCAAAACAGGGCAGAGTTAAAGAAAATAAACTAAACGCACTGTTCGGGATGTTGGTAAGCATTGTAGGTAATGGGTTCGGTCTATGTGGGGTGGAGTGCTCTGTGTTTGGAGCGACACATATACGAAGCGTTGTGCGCGTGAAAAAAAAACCCACAAGGAAAACGGAATTAGCAAAAGGACTGACGTGACGAGCTATGAAAAGTGGGGCCGTCTGGGTGAAGGAAAAAGACATCACTGCGTCACATAAAACGCTTTGCAATTTCGTATGCGCTTTTATACCTAACCACTTAATGGCATTTTCTACATATCAAAATGACAATGCAAATTTTCTGGTTGTAAAAAAAGCACAAGGGGTACACTTAATGCGTCTAGTAAAGGGGAAGGAGGGCGAAATGAGGAGAGAAAAAATATGGAAAGGAAAGGCTAGGAAAGGCAACGAAAGGAAGATTAAGGAAGGAAAAAATAAAGAGGGTAAAAATGAAAGAGCAAAAACTAAAGAGGGAAAAATTAGGGAAGGAAAAATTATTAAAAATTAAACAAAACTATGAAAACAAATAAGATAACTGGGGGCATGGAGGAATCAACAGTGTTGTGGCGTGGCGTGTTGTACTGTCTTGCATTCGGTGTAATCATACATGCGAAGTGGACATACCGTACAGATGCAAGTACGTGGAAAGTGGTTCGTGCTTGTAGCACGGAAACGTATTTACTAACTACAAAAAGGTGCTGGGATATGCTTTGGCTGGTAGAATCGTGTCGGTTATTAAAAAAAAAAAAAAAAAGTGGGCACATTAGCATGCGTAAAGAGTATATACAAATATATATATGTGCTTTCACGCAAGTTACGCCCCCGTAAACATTAGTCTAACTTAAGTTTCCTTTCGTAGGTCGATTCCTACGCATAGGTTATTTATTGGTACACTACTCTACATATTGCTTTGCGGGAGGGGGGTCTCATAATTGTGCAAGTACGAACTGAACCTTCTTCATCTAAATGCTGGGGGACATACATTATCTGGAAGCGTTGTACAATGACGTGGCGTCTGTGAGGGACTCGTGGCGGCTTCTACGATCTCTTAACGGTGGAAGAAAAATTTCTGCACGCACATACGCAAACGTATGCCTCTATTTACATGTGCAGACGTCGGATTATGTGCGACCTCCATTTTGAGTACTTCGTTATAGAGATACGGGCTGGACCTACTGGTGAGCCCTCATTTATCAGTCGGCCGTGTAAGCAAACCTTCATCCGTGGAATAGAAGGCTAATCATTACGGATAAGTGTCACACGTGAGAGTGTCCTGTACGAGTATCCACGCGTGCCCACGCATGCTGCTCGCCATGCAATCACTCCCGTAGCTGATGGTGACAAGGCGTGTCAAACGATGTCGTGCAAACTTTTTCCACTTAAAAGCGTGACAAACTGAATCGAATTCAGTAAGGAAGTTTACACGGTGAGCATCCGTCACTGGACACGAGATTAAGGATTCACTCCTAGGAATTGCCCCTCGACCGATCGCTTCTTACAATCACTAATCCCTCGTCAAGTATGGCACTTCCCCCGCAGTTTTGACTATAGAGAAACACCCTCCCCTTGTCTATTCCGTTGAGGATCTTAATAAGCATAAAAAGGCTGACATTGCTCAGGTGTAACCCTGGCTCACTTATTATCCTCATCGTTACTGTAATCTTTGCCATCGCTCTGGTCGTTATCGACAATGTCATTGTTGTGAACGCTCTGTTCATTGTCAATCGTCTCATTGTTGTCTACACTTCCATTGTTCGTGCTGTTGTTGGTGTTGCTATGACTTCGGTTATTGTTTTTCTCCTTGTTTCCTCTTCTGGCGTGGTTGCTTCTTCCTTTGATGTTGTGCGCGTCCTCATCATAGTAATAATTATTCGCACCGCTGATATCGTTGTGGTGACAAGTTCCCATGGTGCCATTACAGTTAGTTTCGTCATTTGTGTTACTCTTGTTAAAACTCATTGGGTTGAAGCCATTGTTACTATATTCATTGTTTGGGCAGGGGCGGTTGTAAAAGTTTAGCCCATAGGCCTTGTTCATGCTGTTTAGGTTCCCTTCCATCCTTTGGTTTTTTTTCTTCATATGATTTACTAAATTATCTTCGGCCGACATATCTTCATCTTTTAGGTTTCCATTTCCTTCCTTTTTTCCATGTGTCATGTTTTTCAAGCCATCATGAGAATGCTCGCTGTTAAGAGAAGAAGCATAATTTGCGTTCCCCATTCTGTAATTTATAAGATTCTCCTCATCCTCCTTTCCAGAGGTGAGATTATAATTAGTGATGCAATTAAATTCCGAGGTGTAGTTGCTCACTTGGCCATTGCTCCCGGGGAAGTTACTCGTGTGATTGACATCGTTTCCGTAGCTACTCATTTGTGCCATTTGTGTCAATTGCGTCATTTGAGTCATTTGACCAGTGTAGTAGTTCATCTCACTGCCGTAACTGTTCGAATTATACGAGAGGTTATTCGTCACATGGTTTGCTGAGGTGTCGTACGTAGGGTAGGATGTAACATTGGAGCTTAGGTGGTTGTAGTAGTTTACCTTATAGGGATTGTTCAGTTCGCTATTTAGGTTTTGGTAATACATGTAGTAGTTTTTATTGGCATCTCCCCCAGTGGCCCCTCCCACAGGGGCACCTACTCCCGCTGCTGCGACGTTCTTATTTTCTTCTTCATTCGCCTGGTTGTTCGCTACCTTACTAGTGTTGCTGCCACAGCTCGGGTGATTTTTGCTGTTGCGGTTGTTGCTGTTGTTGTTTCCACCGCTTCCGTTACCGCTGTGGGCGTTGTAGTTGGCTTCGTTGTAATTCCCCTGTGTGTAGCCTCCTTGGCTGTAACTGCCCTGTGGGTAGTTGCCTTGCGTGTAGCCTCCCTGTGCGTAGTTGCCGCCATACGAACCCACATTGTAGCTCCCCATGTTCATTCCTTTCACGTTGTTCATGTGCACTTGATAATTGTTATTTTTGTGGTAGTAAGTGTTTCCCTCTTCGCCCCCCTTGCCAATTTTTACCCCATTGGATTTCCTCACCTTAATTTTACAGCCCTTAAAATCATGGCCATTCATTTCGGTTAAAGCTCTAATACATTCATCGTGATTAAAAAAATGAATAAAGCAGTATATCTTATTTTGATTTTGATTTTTCTGCGTATTTTTAATCACCTTAACGAAGCAGATACTAGAATAGAAGCGGGAAAAGAGCGTTTCGATTTCTTCCTTTGTTGTTCCTTTGGGTAGCCCCCCAACGTATATAGAATATGTCCCCTTATCATCCAGCTCAACGTCTAGGCTCTTCTCATTCGTCTTAACATTCTCACTCACATTGTATTTGGCCCAGTTCAACTTAAACTTGTGTATCCTTCCAGGTATCCACTTACCGTTTAAATTATCAAAGCAGTACTTGGCGATGTCAAAATTGGTGAATTCTATGAATGCATAAGAATATTTTTGCGAATTCTTCTCCTTGCATAATTTTACTTTTATTATATCTTCGGCAAATTCGTAAAACATACAGTGTAGGATATAGTTCTGATCTACAACTTCGTCTTTTATCTTGTCTAGGTCCCCTACCCACAGGGTTTTCGTCGTGTTGGATCTGCTTCCTTGCTTGTTGTCCTTTACCATTTCGCTCTTGTTTGTGTTATTCATTTTGGGTGAGAGTGTTTAAAAAAGTTTTCTACTTCCCTTGTTCAAGCCTTCGCTGGGTTTAACTCGTTTGACCCTTTTCTGGGTTTTTCTCGTTCGACCCTTCGTTGCGTTTGTCTCGTTCGACCCGTAGTTGCTTTTGTCTCGTTTAACCCTTCTCTACGTTTTTCTCTTTATCTTACTTATGGGGGAGAAATGGGGGCTCCTGCATAAGCCTACACACTCGCCCTTTCTTCTTAAAATTGAGGGGGGGCAATAGAAAGGACATCGTCCACTTGTAAAAAAAGGGGCATACAAATGGATTTTCCTTCTCCGTATTGTACTATACTTCCCTGTATGTTACGTTATTTTCCTTTTTTATTTTTTCTATTTTTTTTATCTCTTTACTAGCACAACCTCTGTTGTTTCCTCTGCGGATTCCTTTTTCCTCCCTCCACTGCTGAAACGTCCTACTTCGCGTGCTACCTCTGATGGTTTGAAGATTCACTTTCAGTCGAGTAGCAGGAGGGCTCGCAATGCTCTCTTAGCAATTAGTTTGTACAAAAGGGGCAGCTCTTCATGTATGTGTTTTTGTAAGTGTATGCTTGCATGTGGGTTGTATGAACTGTTCGTTTGCATGGGGGGGATAATCACGACGGACACGTTTAGAAAGGTATCATCACGAGCAGGTACGCGACGGGCATGAGCACGCGCATGTGCATGGGCTAAGGTAGCCGATGCTGCGCGATCCGCTATCCCTTTTGCGTACGCTCCCTCTCTCTTCCTTTCTACTGTTAAACAGCACAAGAGAAATAAAAAAATGGCGACAAAATTAAAACATCGCAGTGGAAACTTCTACCATTTTAGTCGATGTGTAGGTAGGTTTCTATCTGAGTGTATGTTTCCCTTCGCCGCAGGCTGCTTGAAAAAATGTTATTAACTTATTTTATATATTTTTTTTCACTTTTTTTTTTTTGCTTTTTTTTTTACTTTTTTTCGTTATTATTATTATTTTTTTTCTTTTGCGCTTAAAACAAGTGCTTCCCTTAACGAAAGCATATTTTCGTATTTTTAATTTTACTTTAGATTTCTATATTTTCAGCGTTTTTAACCTGAATGCATTTTTTGCAAAGGTGTTATTTTTCTATTGCATCGTACTTGTTTAATATATGCTTTGTTCTTTTGCTTAAAGGAATAAAATGTTTCCTTTCACATTTATTATTTCGTTTTATATATTACTTTGCTTCGCTTCATTAGTTTCGTTGGAATGGTTGGATTCCCTGGATTCGCTCGTTTCGTTACTTTCGGTTCGCCGATTTGTTTTGTCACTGCATATTTTTTGCATTTTTTTTTTATGCTGTTTAATCGCTTCACTTCAGTTTTTGCTTTCTTGCTTTTTCTTCGGTTATTCCTCTTCGTTCCCCATTTTTGTTAATTTTTAAATGCTCAATTTCAGTTTCTTAGTTTACTTGGCTGTGCACCGCGTTTATACGTGACCGTTATGCCTATCTCAATAACGTCGCGCATACTTGCAAGTATTTGGCTATTGCCTTTTTTCTCTCACTATATATATGTATAATTGCTTCTACATGTGCGAAGGAAAAAAGTGGAATCAAAGAGGCGCCGAGAGCAGTGCATATCTTAACCCGCCCCGGGATATATTTTTTGCCCCTTGTAGAAGCCCTACCCACATAGTTACTACTATAGAGGTCTGTTATATCACTGCCGCGGAGCTAGTGTATACATTCATGAGGATTTCTACATCATGATTTGCCCCTTTATTGGAAAATTGTTTTGTTTACATCCCTGTCGTGGGATTTATTAAAGGTTTTTTTTTTTTTTATGTTTTTTTTTTCTTTTTAATTTTTTTCTTTTTAATTTTCTTTTAATTTTTCTTCCCTGCACACATGATAAGATACATAAAAAAGCAAAAGCGTTTTATTATCATTCATATGCATACACAACAGAACATAAATAATACCTGTCGCTTCGAAGCTTATTATCACCGTTTGGAATCACCGTAAATTTCTCCTTTTCTCCACCTCTTCCTTCCCAAGCTCCTGATGTTGCTGAACTCTGTGTAGATGTGCACATATGCCATGTGCATCGTTAAATATATGCGGATTAGGCATATGTGAATATGCTCATTGCTTTATGAATGATTCCCCTTTTCATGTTTTACTTTTTCACCCTACCTCACAACTGGCTTAGAAATTTTCCGAAAAATCAATGGGCCCTCTGTTCACCCTACACCTAGATTGGTTTAAAAAAAAAATAGCAGATGTTTCCCCGATGGGCAGAGTAAGAAGCAGTGAACTTCTTCTGGAGAGAAGTGTACTGGCCGCGACATGGCTTTGATATAGCGGCTTAACAACGACTCGTTAAAGTTAATTGTTTAAATAGGATAGCGCCCTATCACCCCATTTTGTCCTTGTAGAAGCAGCACTTTTGGTGCCCCAAAACGGTTAAGAGGCCTCTTTTCTTTTGCAGAACGCATGTGAAGCTTTCTTCTTTTGGTGTTTCAGCAGTGAAGTAGCGCAGCTACACATTTTATAGGAATTCACCTTCCGGGGCAGAATTTCCCCATCTTTTAAAAGAAGAGTGTGTATATATTGGTACCTTCAATTACTGGTACCACACGCATATGCAGATAACAGGTGGAGGAAAAAACGCAGCCTATCCTGGATGATACCGGCATGAACAGAATACGTCTGTTAGTTTCCATGAATGAAGAATTAGTTAACGAAGTGTTGCGTTAGTGTTATGTGTACCAGATGTGTAACCAAAAAAAAAACAAAAACGTACGTACATACGTAATCGTACTAATGTGCTATGTGTGTACTGCACTTATGTTGACAAATAAGGACGAAATTGGAACAAAAAACTGCGAATGTGGTTGAGCAATTTAGAAATTTAATGAAAAATGTTGTTAATTAAGGTGCCATATGGGTAGGGTGAAATGTTGGCTAGGAGACATGTCGGAGCGTGGAGGATTGTTGAAACGGAGATCGATCAGGTAGCTACGCAAAGTGTCAACGACAAAAAAAACTTAATGCCGGTGATAAGGATAACGGTGATAATAATAACGGTGATAATAATAACGGTGATAATGATAAGGGTAATAAAGGTAACAATAACAGAGGTAACAATAATGGAGGTAGCCATAATGGTGGTATTAACAAATGCTGCCTTGTCTCTCATTTCGCAGAAACATTTGACGAATTAATTATGTACAAAAACAAGGTTAACGGTTTTTACAAAAAAAAAAGGGGCGATGTTGGGGAATCCCCATGTTAACAATCCTGAAATCTTTGCGTACGTGTGTGGAGTACTTTTATTCCCTCACTCGGTGTGCATGGCCGCCGCGTTGGGCATTTCTCCGTTGCCTGTTCCCTGTTGAGATACGTTGCTGAACGCTTTCTCTCCACCGGTACTTCCTTGGGGTGACATCTGCATCTTGCCTTCTCCCTCCGTAGTCGCCTGCCCAGCTACCTCGGCTTTAACATCCTCATAGGCATCTTCCAGGTCTCCCCCTGTGGTTTGCAACAAATCATACACATAATTGACAGCGTCCGCATTGTGCAAAATACCGATATGGCTATAATTCTCAAAGTGCTTCTTCTCCTTTGCGTTGTAAAAACTATTACATCCTTCTAAACTTTCGATGGGCACAGTTCCATCACCTATTCCGTAATAAACAATTGGTTCCTCGTTTAAGTTTTCCTTTTGAAAATACAGCAAATAATCGGTGCTCTTATTTTTAAGGGTACTATATACACAATATATGGGTACCCCATGGTCCATCGAAAAATGCCTCTCTATGTATTGTTTATGATTATTGTACTTTTCCAACAAGTCATCCTTTAGAAGCACATGCCAATCTGATAAGGTATACACTTTTAACTTCACATCAGTTCTGTTCAGATAGCAGTCTTTATTATATATTCCACAAGTGTTCACAATGGACTGCACGTAATTCTCCGCAATCGGGGCGGGGTCTGTATTCATTATAATTACAACCTGATCAACGTCGTAGTATTCCTTATATGGTATGAGGTCATACAAGGAACCTACTGAATTTCCAATGGCCTTCATCATACTATCTGATATGGAAAGTTTAATCAAATTAGAAATTTTGAAAGAAACAAAATCACGGTTTCCATGCAGTAAAGCCCTAATGGTTTTGACGGTACCCTTAAATGGAGAACTCATATACATGATCGAACTTAAATATTTTTGTTTCCATTCTTTATCAACTATATGCACTAGGAAATAATTTATGAATAAACCTCCTAAACTATGGCCTACTAGATTTATCTTAATTCCGTTTTTCCTTTCATAAGCTGCTTCTATGCTCTCTTTGAGAAGGATATAATCTTGTTGGTACAGGGGATAACGCCAGTCGTACGGTGCACCCATGATGCTTTCCCCATCAACATAACCCTTAGACAAAAAATGAGAAGCTATAGTGTTATAATATCTTGTTACCCCTATGCCAGTATTGTTAATATAATCTAAATAATCAATGCCCTTAAGACGCCCATAATCTTCCACCGTAATGTTAACTCCTGGGTGATTCGAATACAGTTGTTTCTCATTGTCGTACAGTAACCTCAAGGTGTCAAAGGTACAGTACACATTTGATGTTAGTGAAAAAAGTCTAACTAAACTAATCCATATTCTAAATGGCTTTGAATTTAACAAATTTCTGCTGCAACTATGGATCAGTGCATTTTTGTAATGGGCAATTAGTGTACTTCCTCCAACCCCGGGTAGTAGAAAAGTCGTGGGCAATTTCTTCCTGTCTTTCTTTTGGGACTCATCCTTTGATTCTTTCTTTTTTTTTCCTTTTATGTTATTCTTATTAGATCTTCGTCTCCAGAAAAAATTGTACTTCTGTTTCTCCAAGGTGCTGCCTAGCTGGGCAGCGCTTTCGTTCGACTTTGCCTTGGCTTCTTTCTGCCTGTGTTTCGGTTCCAGGACTATTGCTGCTTCCTGCACTATTTCTGTCTCCTCTATTATTGCTGCTTTCTCTGTCGTTGCTACCTCCTTGGTTGTTGTTACTTTCTCTGTCGTTGCTTGTTTCTCTGTTGTTTCTTCTTTCTCTGTCGTTGCTTGTTTCTCTGTTGTTTCTTCTTTCTCTGTTGTTTCTTCTTTCTCTGTTGTTTCTTCTTTCTCTGTTGTTTCTTCTTTCTCTGCTGTTTCCACATCCTTCGTTGCTGCTACAAACTTCGTTGCTGCTACAAACTTCGTTGCTGCTACATCCTTCGCTGCTGCTGCTTCTTCAGCGTTGCCGTCTGTTGCGACCCCTGTTTTAGGCGCTTCCACCTTCTTCCCTTCCTCCCCTCCCTGCGTCTTTTCCCCCTCCGGCTCCGCCTGGACGACGCTTACAGTCACTTCTTCCTGTTCTGTGCTTGCAGCTGGGGTTTCCAATTTCTTTTTTTCCTCATAAGGGGCATTGTTCACTTCACCCCTTTTTTCTGAATTTCGAAATATTATCTTATATGGGGAGAAAAATAAGGCACTTGCTACATCCCTAATGGATGGCGTAAAACCCGAAACTGGCGGTGTTGGCATTAAAAGATGCCATAATGCTATCAGAAGAAATAAAGTTGACATTATAACTCACCTAAAAAGTCAGCCAAAGAAATTAATGGTATCGGGTGGAGTAGCTCCTCAAAATGGTCAAATGTTAAGCACAAGCTCACAGGTAGAAAGGCGGCCGATTGGTGATGACAAGACACATACATAGAAAAAAACAAAAAGTCGTATTGTATACATTTAAAGAATTCTCGTCTTTTATGAATTATGTCATTTTCCGTCACATTTTTCTAAGAATTTGATAAATATGAAGCAAAATATGAAGAAAAATGCAAAGGTATTGTATAAATATATGAAAACCTAAATGTATTTAACAAAATCGCACTTCATGGTTGTACAAAATGCTTACAAAAGTATATCATTTTCTAACAAATTCTTGTAGGGGGAATTTGTCAGCTAGAGATATATGCAACAATATTGGCGTACATATGGTCGTTACATATCAATCAGTACTGACATGCGTACCTAATAAGGACATTTCGAAAAAGGGGGAATTCCTCAAGGTAAACATTGTAACTTGACAAAAGAGGATGACAAGAAGAATAAATTTCCAAACAAATAGTTTTCTCAAATTATAGGCTTACGGGAAAAGTATATATATATTTTATATGTAGACATATATAAGGAGCAGCACTGGGGGGCATCAGTAAACCTGCATATATAAGGAGGCCTGTTAAATCATGGCACGAACATATATGTAGTGTCCTGCTGTATATAATCATGAATAAAGACACAAAATCGTATCAAAATAGCATAGGGAAGCATCTGGCCTCTGTTTTTACTTTGTACGTTCGCGTACATCTGCATTAAGACGCACAGAAGCTGGGCGCAAATATAGGCATGTAGTAATTATATAAATAAATGTATAATATACATAGGGACGTCAATTTGTTTGCTTCGATTTTGAAAAATCAAAAATTTACAATAGAAGTAATTTTTGCGCAGTTTCAAAGATAGAATGAAACGTACAGCAGCCGTGGGGTTCTCCCTATTCTCCTTCCCCCTGTGTTAATTTTCCCTTTCTTTCGTCTTTGATTTGGCCTGCCTTTGCTGTTTTTTCTTTCTTTTCTTTTTTTTTTTTATTTGGTTCTATTTTCTTTCTTCTTGTTTTATTTTCCTTTTTCCTGTTTTATTTTCCTTTTTCTGGTTTTATTTTATATTTATTGTTGCACCCTGTATGGCAGTTGTTTTTAATGTTTGTTCTGCTTCGCCGTGAATTATTTTATTTTTTTTCTGTTTTTTCTTTTGATTTTTTTTCTTTTTTTTTTTCCTTTTTAATTCGAATTATATATATATATTTTTTTTTAATTCAATTTCTGCTTTATTTTCTGCGTTAATGTCTCCTGGAATGTGAGAAAATTTGAATTCAAAAAATTGAGGAGCAAAAAAAATCATTTGTTGTAATTTACAATGAAGCTGCAACTATTATTTAAACTCCACTCCACGCCACAATTTTGCAAATCATATAAACCGCGTTTCCCTTGGCACATTGGAACGACTTTGTCGACAAAGCAGTTTTTGCATGTCTTGGACTTATCTATCAATGCGTGAATTTTTTCTTCGATCGATGATTTCTGTTCTGCAATTCAATGCTTTTTTTTTAAGTGCTTTAAATACATTACGTGTGCATGTTTGATTCTTTAGGGCTTAACGTTTTTAAAAAAAAAAAAAAAATGTAGCAAATTTTTGTGGCCACTTATGCTCGTGTTAAAATTAGCCCACTTTGTTCGGTCTGTTCTGTCTGTTGCGGTTTGCTCCCTCTTTTGGAATTACAACTAGGTAATGGTTACATATGTGGGTCTTTTCAAGTGGCAAAAAAAAAATAAAAAAAAGAGGCGTTCCCCCTGCTTATGTTTGCAGATTTATAAGCTTGCGTCACATATGTGCAAACGTGGGCGTACCTGTACATGTTACACATATAATGGCCGCATGCAAATATGCAATATTTCAACATGCACTTGAATTGGCGTTACATGCGTCTGCGCGCGCATGGCTCATTAGTTAATCTTTGAAATTGCCACAGTCCACTAATGGAAAGCTTTACATACTGCCCGCGCGAAATACGAATGAGTGGGCAACGGTGACACCATACACAAGCAGAGGAAACGTAAGCAAACAAGCAAAAAGGAAAACGATTAAACGTAACATTAGAAAAAGTTGGAATTAAAAACATATACATGTAACACATGGCTGCTTCCAACAAGAACAGGAGGAGTGGATCAACATGTTACTGCTTCTTTCCATCCCAGGCACTCTCCCCCTTTTGCACAGGCGCTAATAAGTTACTCCTTAAAAAAAAATGACCACATAAAAGCAAGAAGAAAAACAAAGTGCTTCACCAAATCAATCTCTCCAAACAACAAGTGTTAAGAATCTTGGGAGTTTCTGTTACCCCAGTAAGTTGCGTACTTAACCAGGCAAAAGACGGTACATACAATCCAAAAATTCCATTTATGCATTAACTGTAAATATGCAAAATGTAACGCGCAAATTTGCTAAGACAAAGATTAGATTGAAAGACGTTCTATGAGGAAATGCCCTCAACGATGATGTTATTATATGTACATTATGGCCCATTTTATAATGCTATGAAAAACAAAAAGACAAAAAAAAACAAATTTGAGCATTTCCCATTTTATAAAAAAACATAAAACGAAAAAGAGAGCTATTTTTTATACTTATATTTAATCCAATATATAAATGTTCTATTAACAAAAGGAGTAAATGAATATCTGTTGCCCCTCGCGGGACTTGAGAGATTTTCCGCTTTCTTAAAAAATGGATGTGTTTTCCAGGCATCTACATTTTACTCGCTTATTTTTTCCATAAAATTAAAAAAAAAAAAAAAACTTAAAATTACTCTCGTTACGTATATGCCAATTGGTTGATTCATATAATTCCTAAACGAACTATCCTGTCTTTTGCAAACACGTAACATTTTAACATTACTGTCATTATTATAGGTTTCCGATTTTTGTTTTCCTTCTCCCACAAAGCCACAAGCCCGTTACGCAACGAAAAGTTAAACATATATTGCAACACGTGAGGAAGAAAAACGGTGTGAGATCTATTTTACACGTTCTCATCACATTCTTTCATATGCCTTTGTAATATTTCACAACCGATGTGGCGTTAAATTTTTCTTCAGTACAGTTTTGGAGTAGAATGCTCATTTTGTTAAAAGGGGATCTCTTGCTTATCAGAAATAAATCGAGGAAATTGCTTCTTTATATTCCATTCCTGGAAGCCTTTCTCCCTTGTTAAGATGTTTATTTCGTTCTTCAATATATTCACATGCTAATAATTTTTCAAAAATAATCCAATTGACTTGAAAGACGGATACATAAAATTAAAAAAAAAAAACAAGGAAAAGCCAGTTTAGTTTGGATATTCCCTATTCTGCAGTCTTTTTCCTTTTGGAGCGTGACAACTTCCCTTTTTTATACCTTCTAGAGTAAACAAAATGATTTTTACTAGACGAGGGATCCATTCCCCATTTCTCTCACTCCATGTTGAGAGAATTGAAAAAGACAACCCCCAGTTTGGTTATTTTTTCTCCATTTTTATTTCAAACATTGCCAAATATAGAGTTGAAGGTGGGGTAAACAGAACCCCATCGCAAAAAAAAAGTTATGCAAAATGTTGCAACATCGTAAGTAAGCGCCGCAGTAGTCTCACTTGCGTGGATTTTATTTTCCTGGCAAAAATTGATACGCCAAGGGGGGGAATTTTTTTCTAAACGTCCTGCCCAGCATAACCATTGTGCAGCCGTTTTTGTTCGGTTTTTTCCTCCTTACGTAAAACTGAACTTCCACATTTGCTTACCTTCTTTTTGTAGCGCTTACCTAACCCTTTTCTTTGACGCCATCGTTGAGCGTATATCAGTTGTTTCGCCTTGTACATGCGATGCGAATGCAGCTTAAGTGAATATAAAAAAAAAGACCAAGAGGAGGTCTTTTCATGCCTTCCTACATACAGCTATAGATACGCTAATTCAACCCCAAGAAAAAGGCAAAATGGAAAATAATGTATCTGTTTATGTACAATTAAGAAATGAATACAAATTTGGTATTGCCTAAATAACATATGCATCGAATTATATGCAAATTGTTCGTGAATGATCCAAGGGAGCCTTTTTGTCCTCCTTTTATGTCGCTAATTTGGACAGTTTTTACGCTGTTGGATTATTCCCAACTTGACTCTATATTATTCCGCATGCTCAAAAGAAAAAATGGGTATACTATTTGCTATCTTTTTTGCTTATCCAATATACTAATTTTTGCTTAAATTGTCAAAAGAAATAAGCAAGTGAAAAGGAACAAAAAGAAAGGTGTTTTTTTTTCTGTTTTTCCATCGCGCATGCCTGTGCTTATATATTTATCCCCTTTATCCTTGCGCGTGAATTTTTATTTTTATCCCATTTTGTCATGTTATATTTATTTCAAAAAAAAAAAAAATTATATAAATATTATATACCATACGGTTTAAATTTTTTTTGTGTGCTTTAATTTAGCCAGTTCTCTCCTGAAGAATTTATTCTTTGATCTTATTAACTATTACAGTAACTTTTTTTTAGTAAAAGTATCGAGTTATTAGCCATTGTGGCAATAATTTACAAACGATTAAGTGAAAATAATATAATCATGGAAAATTAAATTGAATAGGCATCCATTTATATGAGGAAAAATCACAGCCAAAAAAAGCAAAAATTAGAATATAATAATAAGCATAAAGTTGGCACGGAGTCCAAAAAAAAAAAAAAAAAAGGCAAAAGGGAAACTATTACCCTAGTAGGCATTCTTCGCCAAAAGGTTTGCGTCATTTGCCGTTTGTTCAGTAAAACTAATTCACTTCTCTACCGAACGCACAGAGGAAGGAGGCATAGGCTCCTAATATAGCACAACCAGGAAGTGGCACCTCTAAAGTGCAGTAAGAACGTGAGCTGTTCAACTTCTCCTTTTGCAGTGCTATAGAAT